CTTACTGTATTGGCTAATGTAACTACATGAAGTTCATGATGATCAGCTGAGATGCCATACTGTGCTTTTCTCCTGCAGGAACATTCAGAATCACACACGCATACACTACACATCAGCACTGACTATATCTTAATTGGATATTGTTGTGTGTGTGTGTAAGCAATAGGCTAAGTTAGCTATGCAAAGTGCCAGATAGGTAACCATTTACAGTAACTGCTGTTCATTATTACTCAGTCAATAAACACCATCAGCCGGCAGAAGATCTAGCTACTGTAAGTTAGCTACAGAAAGTAATGGAGAAATCTGACCTTTCTGCAGCAGGTAGCTCTGGCCAGGCAGCTTCACTACCAGCTAGCATGACTGTAGCCAGTAACCCAGCCGTTTTCAGTTTTTCCACTCTCCGTTTTGACTCAAATCAAAATAAGAAAATGTACACGGACCGGGTCAAAGGTCAATGAGAGTTTAATTTGGTCAACAAAAAATGAAATGTATCATTTGTTATGTAAGGCTTATTTGAGCTAATAGAAGTGTCGTAATAGTTAGGTTGTTACGAATGCATTGATATAAGTGGGCGCACGTGGCATTTTGGCAAATTTGAAGAAAAACAACTTTATATCAGAGTTGTGTCTGTTGTTCACACCTGTATCTGCCCTCTCCCGCCTGCCTTCCATCTTTGAGGACATGTACAGTGGGGAGAACAAGTATTTGATACACTGCCGATTTTGCAGGTTTTCCTACTTACAAAGCATGTAGAGGTCTGTCATTTTTATCATAGGTACACTTCAACTGTGAGAGACGGAATCTAAAACAAAAATCCAGAAAATCACATTGTATGATTTTTAAGTAATTAATTTTCATTTTATTGCATGACATAAGTATTTGATACATCAGAAAAGCAGAACTTAATATTTGGTACAGAAACCTTTGTTTGCAATTACAGAGATCATACATTTCCTGTAGGTCTTGACCAGGTTTGCACACACTGCAGCAGGGATTTTGGCCCACTCCTCCATACAGACATTCTCCAGATCCTTCAGGTTTCGGGGCTGTCGCTGGGCAATACGGACTTTCAGCTCCCTCCAAAGATGTTCTATTGGGTTCAGGTCTGGAGACTGGCTAGGCCACTCCAGGACCTTGAGATGCTTCTTACGGAGCCACTCCTTAGTTGCCCTGGCTGTGTGTTTCGGGTCGTTGTCATGCTGGAAGACCCAGCCACGACCCATCTTCAATGCTCTTACTGAGGGAAGGAGGTTGTTGGCCAAGATCTCGCGATACATGGCCCCATCCATCCTCCCCTCAATACGGTGCAGTCGTCCTGTCCCCTTTGCAGAAAAGCATCCCCAAAGAATGATGTTTCCACCTCCATGCTTCACAGTTGGGATGGTGTTCTTGGGGTTGTACTCATCCTTCTTCTTCCTCCAAACACGGCGAGTGGAGTTTAGACCAAAAAGCTATATTTTTGTCTCATCAGACCACATGACCTTCTCCCATTCCTCCTCTGGATCATCCAGATGGTCATTGGCAAACTTCAGACGGGCCTGGACATGCGCTGGCTTGAGCAGGGGGACCTTGCGTGCGCTGCAGGATTTTAATCCATGACGGCGTAGTGTGTTACTAATGGTTTTCTTTGAGACTGTGGTCCCAGCTCTCTTCAGGTCATTGACCAGGTCCGGCTGTGTAGTTCTGGGCTGATCCCTCACCTTCCTCATGATCATTGATGCCCCACGAGGTGAGATCTTGCATGGAGCCCCAGACAGAGGGTGATTGACCGTCATCTTGAACGTCTTCCATTTTCTAATAATTGCGCCAACAGTTGTTGCCTTCTCACCAAGCTGCTTGCCTATTGTCCTGTAGCCCATCCCAGCCTTGTGCAGGTCTACAATTTTATCCCTGATGTCCTTACACAGCTCTCTGGTCTTGGCCATTGTGGAGAGGTTGGAGTCTGTTTGATTGAGTGTGTGGACAGGTGTCTTTTATACAGGTAACGAGTTCAAACAGGTGCAGTTAATACAGGTAATGAGTGGAGAACAGGAGGGCTTCTTGAAGAAAAACTAACAGGTCTGTGAGAGCCGGAATTCTTACTGGTTGGTAGGTGATCAAATACTTATATCATGCAATAAAATGCAAATTAATTACTTAAATCATACAATGTGATTTTCTGGATTTTTGTTTTAGATTCCGTCTCTCACAGTTGAAGTATACCTATGATAAAAATTACAGACCTCTACATGCTTTGTAAGTAGGAAAACCTGTAAAATCGGCAGTGTATCAAATACTTGTTCTCCCCACTGTATTTCCATTGTTAGAGCGGTCACTCGACTATCATGTCAATATGATAGATAATCTTTGCCTTCATGAATTAACACATGTACAAACTGTTAGTGCCCAATATTAATTACTTAACTAGAATCCTTAACTGAAACAATAAAAGCGTCCTTGGGGCTAGAAAAAAGTGTAACCACTCTCAAATTCATAGACCGAGCTATGGATGCAAGCACTGACCACCCATGATATCAAATGTATAATTGTATCCATGTTTTGAGGCTTTACAGTATATATTTGGGTCGTTTAAAAACATTGACGTAACATTGAGGCATTTATAAGTGGGTATATCATTATAAGGACTTAATTAACATGGTCCACACAGTTGTGAATAGGGCACGACAGTGCACCATTGAGAGCATCTTGACTGGCTGCATCACCGCTTGGTATGGCAACTGCACCGCCCATGACCGCAACACGGTACAGAGGGTGGTGCAGTGTGGATGACCCAGTACATCACTGGGGCCAAGGTCCCTGCCATTCAGAGGGGTATACTACGATTGAAGCTAGATCTACTCAGGCTTTTATAAATTTAGCAAGCTTCAGTTAGCTTCACGTTCCAGTTCAAGCGTCATCCATACTACGAAGGAGGATATTGATCATGCAGCTGCCGCTAACTCAAGCAAGCTTAAACTGCAGCACTTCTAATAGCCTTTTTTACACCATAGCCTGCTGAATTTGCAAGATAACTGTTCTTTCATTTTGATTTTGGCACAAATGAAAATGTGGCACTGACATGCCCCTGGATTGATGTTTCAGCATTGTCTCAATGAAGAGTTCGGTGTTCGACTAGCCACGTGTGACATGCACACGCAGTTACAAGCCTGCTAGAGTTAGAGGCAGGCGGACAAGCAATATCCACCGTCATAGTACAGATGAAGCCTGAGCTGGAATGTGAAGCTAACTGAAGCTGGCTAGCTTTAGAAAACCCAGAGTAGATCTAGCTTAAATTGTAGTATATCCCTCAGGTCTGTTGTGGTGAAGCCTGTAGGTATGAGTTTGCTTACTGTCATATTTGGGGATGTCAGCAGGGGAAATCGTTGGCTACTTTTCCTGGCTGCTGGGAACCTTCCAAGGGAAAAGAGGGCATGTGACCTCGCTTAGGACAAGATTTTTTAAAATCCATTTAACCACAGATAACTGGTCACAGGGTCAGTTCCCATGTTCTCCAGGTAATTAGCATCCATTGTGGGCTGTCATCCGAGAGGGACCAGTGACATTTTCACAGGCTATTCTCCCCCATTAAAAGTGGATCAAGCTGGGGCTTTAGCAGGACCGCCCGGCCCCCATCACCTTTAATGGAATTAGTCTACTTCACAACCAAATGGGCGACTGAATGGGCAACAAGGAGACTGATCCTCAGACAGCTCTGATGGAATTTGAGGCAGGCTATACTGGGATGGGAAGTATTAGCATCTCTGGTTTTGCTGGTATGGCATTACACTACCGAGATCATTTATATACAGCTATTCTGATATGTGAACCACTTTTATCAAAATGCAGCTCTGTAGAAAATCCCAACAGGTGCATTCACTCTTTTCATATATAACAATGACACTGTGTGGGACAGAGTTTCAAACACCAACGTACATGAGGAATGCGAGAGTTGTCCTTAGAAAACTGTTTGACCATGACTTACTTTAAGGTAAAATATTTTATTTGATCATTGATCAAGAATGTAGCCACTTTGGAAGACAGCTATTTTACCGAGAGGGTTTGTAAACCACTCACTCATGCTGACAGATCATGACAAGGCCATTCATCTTGTTTTAGCTGAAGAACAGTTTCATCAACAACGGCATATGAAATGAATCTTCAGTTGCCACAAATATGTTGATAGCCCACTTAAAAGTTTGTCAGACACTTTCAGGCCTCAAGTCGTTTATTACGAAGATTGGTCCACGTCCATAGCCATCTGTTGTGTAGATCCATCCAGGCACCCAGTTACATGGCTCAATGCCAAATGAATGGGAAAGATAGACACCATATCATTTCATCAATTCAGATGCTGCCTATCATTCCCATTTGGGATGGGGTCAGTATATAGATGACAGATGCGTGGGTCATCTTCGATATTAGAACATTACAACAATAAACAAGGGACCCAAGGCTTACGCTTTATAATTAATTTGAAGTTTGCCAATGCTACTCCTTTGACAGTTAAATCATGATGGTTATTAACAGAATGCCTCACCAGAGCTCATTATACAAAATATAAAAACAAACAAGACAACCAATTAAGCAACCCCATAATCGCCTGAACAAAAAGAGAAAGCAAGTCCTAAATAAGGATCCCAATACATCAATTCAATCCAGTTAACCTAATCTGACTTTAAAAGAACACAGGGAAGATGAGAGGCCAATCGGGGGACGATGCAGATTCAATAAATGCGAATAGCGGACAGACATTTCAATCAAACTCTGTTTGGTCAGTGGAATGAAAAGCTCCTTTGAAGAGTGGAGGCAAGATCCTGTGGAAAACGTAATTGACTGGGTTTGTAGGCTGCATATTTCAAAGTCAGACAAACAAACTGCCCATTAATCTTTTTCATCCAACAGCCCCAACTCAAAGGCAGAAGCACACATACAGTCTCAACATCTCAGGGGAGCATAGTCTTCCAGAGTTCAGGGCCTTGTGTACTGTGGCCCAATAGTCTGTGGTGGATGGGAAGGCAGCCTCACACTGTGGGGTTCTTGCCTGTTGGTGCCAGTTGTTGATGCTGAAGGTAAGTTGCACGTTTGACTCTGGGTTTCCGTCGTTTGGGCTTGCTTTTGGATTTGGTGAGCTGCACCACAAAGAAGGACAGCACAACCATGGCTCCCAGGAAGGCAAACATGGGGATGGTCTGGCCCACTTCCTGGTTGTAGCGGCCTGGCATTATACCTGGGGAGAGGACATGGGTGTCAGGGGTCACTTAGTAACTCTGGAGGCAGAAAGCAGCACATAGTAGCATTATCAAAATGGACAATGAATAGACAGAAAAACAGATCTCTTAGATATTTAAACAGTTTGTGTGCATTTTACAAACGGACTCAGAATACAGTACATCTGAAACGTGCTGTTGAGCGATTGAGTAGGTGATAATGCTACTCGGTATGTATTCTCACCTCCAGGGATGTCCCAGGCTCCACTCTCCCCAGGAGACAGAGGCCGGACCTGAGGTTTGTAGTTTCTGATGTTGGGCAGCACCACTTTGTCCATGTCAATAGATAGCAGCTTCTGGTGCTTCCATAGGTTACTGTGTAACAAATAAAGCCATGGATGCGCGTTACGACACTGTACTTATCAATATGGAGGAGATTAACAGTTAAGGAGAGTGTATTCAACATAATCTCCCCATATGTTTGATAGAAAATGAAAGGAAAGCCAGGAGATGGAAATTAACCAAAGGAATAACACTTCAGGGGGTAGGGACATTGTTACATGGCTTAGAGACTTGGCACACACCTGGGTGCCGTTTCGTTAAGTGGCTGTGGCTTGGACCATGACAGGTGAGGGCAGGCAGGGAGTGGGCGTGACTTTGGGTCTCCCAGGTGAGCCTCCAATACCTTTGAGTACCGATATAGATGATTACCTGTGGAGGAGAGGGATAGCAACTAAGTATGTAAAGCTGAAACACAAGTGCTGAGCTGGATATGTTTGAGGGCTTAGTGTTTGTCTTACCCTCCAGTCTCTCTGGCAGGGGGTGGTTGGTGCCAGTGGGAGGAGCCACCCTGCTCTTGGAGTGGGTGAGGCTAGAAGGTGTCATGCTGTAGGAGGTGTACTGCAGGAGAGCATCCAGTAGCCAGAAACAGTCTATGGGGGGAACACAACACAATGGTCAAAACCACACCAACTGATAATTTCAGATAAGTTCAAATCATACAAATTTCAATAACTGACAGTTTCTCAGATAATATGGTTTTAGAGGTCTGAAAATGCAGGCGGGGTCTCTACCTTTCTGCCTGTGACTGTCATCTATACAGTTTGAGTCTCCGTAAAGGGCTATCCGACCTCCCCCTTCAGACGGTGTTTGGTACATTCCCAGTATGGGAACACCATCCACAACCACAGTCTCCTGCTTCAAGACCTCCAGCCCTGAGGAAATAAGAAAGAAAGAAAGAAAGAAAGAAAGAAAGAAAGAAAGAAAGAAAGAAAGAAAGAAAGAAAGAAAGAAAGAAAGAAAGAGGGGGGGATTGAATATGTGTGGGGGGGGGAGTGAATATGTGAGAGAGATGAGAGAAAGGAGAGAGACACGAGAATATACAGCCACGGGAACATCTCCACGGTAACCGCTGTCAGGTGTATTGTGGAAGTGGGTGTTTGCACCTTGATCCTTTAGGGTCTTGGCAATCACAATCCCATCTTCTGGAAACTTTGCAATACTGCAGCCTGATGCATAGTACACTGAGGAGACAGACGAGTTTAAACATTACACTAAATAATATAACATGTATTAATCCATCTCACCTTGATTCATTTTCTAGATTTACACACAAATGAGTGACACAGCGAGTGAATGAGGGTGTGTGAGCGCGTGTGTGTTCTTACTGTCGTGGTCTGCCATGGTGAAGTCTCCCTCATAGAGCCCATCACTGAAGGCCATCCCCCATACAGAGATCAGATCATTTAGAGCTGGTACGTTGGCGCCCCCTGTGTCTGGCATCCACCATTGCCTGAGGAGAACATATTCAACCCATGAGAGGGGATACAAATGAAAGGCCACCTGTACAACATAGATGGGCTAGCTGACAACGTCACGAAAACGATGAGCACGCGTCGATGGGGCAGTGTGTTGCTATGATTCTGGATGGTCTGATAGCTAGCAACAATGACAACAAGCTGCCTTGTGGGGAATCGTAGGTGGCTCATTTCAGCTCGTATCTTGTTATTGATACCATATCTTGTTTTGACTGATGTCATGTCTATGCTAATATGCCGGGCATCGGCACACATTTCAGCAAATAAACGCCTGTTTCAAATAAACGCTGGGTCTAAATTAATTGTTTATGAGGTTACCATAGACATAGCTCTGAAGCGCGAAATCGGGGGTATATGATAAGGCAGCCTAGTCTTTGCAAGTCAGATCTGCGATGGATTGCTTATTATAATGTTTATACTGGTCATACTAATCACAATAAACAGTGTGGTAGTCTTTTCAACATTTTACTAAGCAAAAACTTTGTGCATTAAGGAAATGGACACCTGGCTCAAATACTGTAGAAGCCTGTCTCTAAGCGCCTGTTGTGTTCAGTGATTGAAGCAAATGAACGCCCATTAATGTAAGTTTTACGGTAAGTATAAGATGTACTTTTATTAGTCCATACAAAACTGACATTTGTCTTCTGCTTTTTCATTACCCAACCCCTTTGATATACACACAAACAGGCTGGAGCAGAGGGCAATCGCAGTGCAGCACCCAATGAGCAGTTTAAGGGGATTAGTCCCTCGCAAGTAGGTGACACCTGAGATTGCCGGCTTACTTACGCCAGAATTTACACCCCATCAACACTGAGATTCGAACCGGCTGGCCCACTCCTCTAACCTCAAGGCTACAGCCGTCCCCTATTGACACAGGTTATGCTGAGGCTTGATGCCCTGTCTGTCCTTTGATGTTTGAATGAGGACTTTAGTTTATGAGAGAGATTCAGAGAAGCTACAAAGTGGGGTTATAATACCTACCTGGTGTTTTCATCGTAGAACTTTACTTTCCTCATGACAGAAGTGTTGTACCAGTCACTGAAGACAATGAGAGACAGTCCCTTATCAATGTCTCGCCGCAGCTTGGTTATCTCCTCTGGAAAGTACTCCTCTTCACTGTCCACCATCATCAATGTCCCTAAACACATACAGAAAATGTCAGACCGAGACACAGAAAAACAATAATCTCTGCTTTGCATGCAGAGGCACTGGAACTACTGCTGTAAGCAATGACAGCATGAGAAGCCATTCATTCAGGTGCTGCTCCCCCATATCCCTCTCTAAAATATTTTAGATCACAATCAACTGACAAAGAGAGCAAAAATATTCTCACCATATTGACTAGCATCAAAGCAGGTGATGGGTGCACCCAGGACCTCCACAAAATAACCCGTACTCCTCAGATGCTGGTACATGTCCCTGAAATTGGTGTGAATGTGATCTCCATTCCTACAAATGATTCAGACAAAGCTAATATCAAGACACCAATCACAAAAAAAAGCTATGATTGTAAAGGGGAAAAAGGTCTGGCTTGCTCTTATGCTATGGCACCCTCTATAGGCACGTTTTAAGAGTTGCACTGCAGACTGCAATGACCCCAAATAGCCAGTACACCTGAAACAGCCTAATATTATCTCTTAAAAATAAACAGTGATACTGAGGTAAATAGTTGCCCAAAGAACTCACCAGTCCAGTGGGTCATTCTTCATGCGCAGGTTATCTCGAGGGAAGTAGCCAGGCGGGTAGCGCAGGTTGTGGTACTGGTCCCACAGAACCCTCTTACTACGAGGAGGAGTGGGCACTATCTTCACCTTGACTGGCAGTTTAACCGTAGAGGTCATCTCCCCACCCACCTCAGACTGAGGAATTACACAACAATGAGGGTCAGAACATTGAACCATTGATGGTGGTCCTCTGTAGCTCAGCTGGTAGAGCACGGCACTTGTAACGCCAGGGTAGTGGGTTCGATCCCCGGGACCACCCATACACAAAAATGTGGATAAAAGCGTCTGTTAAATGGCATATTATTGACCCAGGATACAGCAAGCTATTTTGCTAGCAGGTAGCTTGATAACGCTAACCCTAACAGTAGTATCTAAATATGATGCTCTCTGGTTAAAAATCTACATTAGAGGATGTCAGTGTGAGATTACAGAAATCACATAAAAAAAACAGTGAAAGGTGAGATACGGTAAATATGCTAAACATATCCTGGTTGTTACTCACATTATTCCCAGCAGGCGAGGACACGGTCACCATCACATGACCCTGGGCAATCCCCTCCCATGATGCAGCTTTCTTGGCGACAGAGATGGAGACTGCCAGGTATCCAGCCCAGGGCCAGAGGACTGGCGAATAGGAGACTGCCACATCAATGTGGTCACCATTCTGTGGTAGGTAAGGCTGCCAGATGGGCTGGACAGCACAAAAAAGGAGAATGTCACCAAACGGGAGGATGATCCAACTAAAAGAACACAGCATGTCAGAACATGAGACCTAAAGCCTTCTATATAAAAGTACTTTGTCCAAAATCCTGCCAGTCACACCCATGCCATTGAGGATGGTGGCGTTGACGATGGTGGGCATGCCACCGTAGTAGATGGGCTGGGAGCAGTAGGGCCACATGTAGGGGCACTCAGTCAGGTCGATGTAGCTGGGACTGAGACTAAAGACAAACAGGATCAAATCAACATGAGATCAGGTTAGTTATGAAAGAGGACCACTGGACATTGCTAGAACCTTTTCAATAAGTAAAAAGAGTGAACATATAACAAAGTGAATACTATGTAAACAGAGTGTATGATGAGTGTGTGTAGAACCTGGCCTGGGGTTTGTAGCTGTTGAGGATCTGGTAGGCTCTGATGAGGTCCAGTTTTCCGTGGCCCTGTTCAAACATGTTGACTCCAGGGAGCCTCCGTGCTGAGGCGATCAGAGCCTGCTTCATACTGGCTGGGTTCACCAGCTCTCTGTTCAACACTGTGCTGTAGGAGGGACACAGCTGGATTAACAACTATTACATTAACTTTGCATTGTGTTTCAATGATCAATAAAGATGAGAAATAAAAAGCAAATGAGAGCTTCCATCTGACTCAACAGCTTGCTATGAGAAAAAGAGGGATGAGATTTTAGAAACAGAGACGGAGAGATGGAGATTTAGGTGCAATAAACCCATTTGTAAGAGACGTGAGAAGTCAATCGGTCTGGATCTTAAGAGATACAAACATAAGAAGTGGAGAGAAAAAGTGAAAGTGTGTCAGCTCCTTCCCTGGAGGGAAAGTAGATTGATTCTGTTAAATGTCTGTGTCCTTGTTGTTTTGAAGTGAAGGATAGCTATCAATTTCATTTATTCCAAATGGTCCACAACACACAGACAAACATTATTTCTGTTAAATTGTAACTGCATCTTGAACCTGAAGACAGTTGTTGCAATTTATCAGCTGATAACTATGTCACTAACACTGCAAATGAGGTGTTCATGGTCTCTTAAGAGAAATGCTGCTGAGTAAGATGTCTCCTTCAGATACTGATACTGTGCTTTAATGCTACTAGCCCTATACATTAGGCTGTAGCTAGCTAGTAGCATAATGTTTACAGACACAAGATGTATGACAACCCATTGAGATATGTTGCAATGGTAATTATTGAACCAAATAAATTGAGAGTAAACTGCTGGCAGACTATAGAAGTATGTTCACCATTAGCCATGTCTCAGCATTTCAGTAAAAAGTAGTCATGCCTCTGGTAGGGAATGCAGCAGCCACTCCTTGTAACACTATGTTCTAAAGTTATTCTGCTCACAGATAAAAAGCAGCAACGTATTTCTCACAAAGCAAAGTTTGACCATGAATAACATATATGTATGTGTGTGAGAGAGTGTGTGTGTTGTGGAGGAAGTGGGGGAGAGCTAAGAGCATGGGGGAGAGCTAAGAGCATGTGGGAGGGAGGGGCCAGGGGAAGAGGGAGGTGTAGACAGCCAGGCAAGGAACAAGCAACTTTTTCATACACACAAACTATACTCATACACACAAACATAAATGAACCCGTAAAGGTACTGATTGTGAGAACTCACCTCACCAGTAGGGTCACAGCGCCTGCCACTACAGGTGATGCTACACTGGTTCCTGAGAGAGAGCGGCAGCCCTCCTTCATCCCTGAGCCCCTCACCCCAGAGCCATAGGTCACAACGTCAGGCTTCACTCTGCCATACCCCCCAGGCAGCTCCTAAAACAGCAGGCAGAGAGAATCGTGTTGAATAAAGAGTGAGTGAGAGAGGAGAACATGGAAAAAAACAGACAATGTTTTTTTATTTTTAAATATTAAAACATACAATCTACTAGCAGTGAAGCCGCTCAACATTACATTCAGTCATCTAACAAACTCCCATCCAGAGCGACCCACAGAAGCAACCAGGGTCAGCTCAAGGGCACGTCGACAGATCTCCCACAAGGTCAAAAACGGGGACCCGAACCAGCGACCTATCAGCCACTGGCCCAAGCTCCCAACCGCCCTCCAAGATCTCCCCACAGTTCAGAGACCAGGTCTCTCCAGATCTCCCAACAATGCTATTTCTAGGGTCAATTTTAGATTAATGTTATGCTTTTTCAGCCATTCCTGAACCTGAGACCCGAAACAGGCTACCTGAGGGCAATACCAAAACAAATGATCTATTGATTCTGTATCCTCACAACAAAATCTGCAGAGCTGTGATTATTGTATGCACCAAATATTCCACATTTTGTTGGTGGCAAGAATTCTGTACAATAATTTTAGCTGAAAAGCACAAAGTCTTGAATCTTCCGTAGTTTTATATATCAACTCATACACCCTGTACCATGGACTCGGTACATCAGAAATCTCTTCCCAACTATTTTGCAATCTGTATGGCACAGCTGTCAACATCCTGGTCTACAAATGAAACTGGTATATATGCAATCTTTATTCCTCTGCCAGTTGAGCCTTTATATTGGGCAGACAGACCAGTTCCCTACCTCCTCCCGCTGCCACCTGCCTCCTCCATTTTTGGGTAATGCTGTAATCAATTGGTTGTAATCTTGGATTGAGCAGACCTTCCCATACAATTCTGATAACTCCATGAAAGACATAACTCTACCATTCCAATTTACAATGTCGTTTAAAAACAAAATACCCTTTTAAAACATATTTTCCATAAATACAGGTATTTTATCAACCAGCACATTTGAGTTCAACCATAATATTTGTTCTATCTTTTCAGGGGGATGAAATTGAAATTGTAACCAGCTCTGCAATGCTTGTTTGAAAAAGAGAGATACTTTGAAAAAGGTTTCATTTTCAATTATCGAAAATGAGACATATCAATCTGCACAAAGGCAAAAAGGCCATTTTTAAACAATGGATGAGCTTTTATTAGTAATTTAGGGTTCAAGTAAAACTTTTGTATAAGTGAAGCTTTTAGAGAGGTTTAGTGCTTTTATATTTAATAATCTCAACCCACCCAGTTCATATTCATTATATAGATAGGCACGCTTTATCTTGAATGGTTTAGCATCCCAGACAAAGCTAAATATTTTTTGCTCATTTGATTAGAAAAATAATCATCAGGAGTAGGCAGCGCCATATAAGTAAGTGAGTAAACTGAGATTTGTTTGCATTCCTCATTTATATGTCCCACAAAAAACAGGCTTCATGGTCTGAACAAATTCAATTCCTCTATCTCAGTGTTTTCCTATGGCTGAGTGTGAGAGACGGGGGCTGCAGATCACAGGGTTAGATGTCTAGTCTGGGACTGATAACAGGTAGGCTGGGGAACAGAGTTCAGTTTAGTCTTACTGGGAAAGGTAAGAGTACACTGAGATAGACATTTGAGAGGTTATTCAGGGTTATGCTGTGAGTGAGACGCACCCATGTAGTCATCCCGCGCGAGGAGAACCTGGCAATGTTGTCCTCAAAATCGATCCCACCGACACCAATCACATCCATCTGATCCGCTGGATTGTTCAGGGTGCTAGGATACATATGGAATTGTAATTATTATTTTACATATATTTTTATCTTGGTTTCTTGTAACAATCAATGCTACGCCCTTTTGACCACCACACCTCCTCTCGGTGTCAGAACACACCCATATAGTGGTCCATCGTTCCCAATGGCAGAGACCATGATCACTCTGTTAGCAGTCAGCTCCCAAACCTGGCACACACAAACACACATTTTCATCAAAAGATACTCAGAATGGGATAAACTTAAAAAAAGTAAATCAGTTTAAATGCTTTTGGGATTCTTTATTATTCACCTTATCAACAAATGGGTGGTCCATGAAGTCTGGACCGCCGATGCTGAGGTTTAAGACATCAATCTTCTTCAGAATGGCATAGTTAAAGGCATCCAGGAACCAAGAGGTATATGAGACCTGATTGTTGGTGAAAACTCTGAAGATGTGAAGCTCAGAGTCTGGGGCAAAGCCCTGGCACTCTCGCATGCTGGCAATGACCCCTGCCACAAAGGTACCATGTCCCAGCCCTGGAGAGAGAAGGAAGAGACCGAACTTAGTGTCAATGGCCACAGCACAGAATCAGATCACATCACTAAAGGAGAGAAGAGGGTTCACTTAGTAACCCATGATCTTACCATCATCAAGTGTCTTTTCATTGGTCCAGTTGGTTCTCTCCTTCACGTTTTTAAAATGTGGATGTTTCTCGATGAGTCCTGTGTCAAAAACAGCCACCTTCACTCCGGAACCTACACACAGAGAATACAGACAGTTAGAATCAACCAGCAAATAAATGTACTCAAAAACTACAACTGCAAGAAGTATGTACACAAGACACGTTAATGTAAACAACCACAAACTTGTTAGCCAAACAAACACACAGTACCCCCTGCTGTATGTCTGTCCTCACCAGTGTGTCCCATCTGCCAGAGGACATCAGCCTGCAGGATCTGGGCCACGTGTCGGGGGATGGCTCTCAGTAGCCTCCGGCTGGAGTGGCGGCCCGTGGCGTGCCAGAAGCCCGAGGCCAGAGACAGGCTAGTCCGGCACAGTGGCCGGGACGACTGCCATTTCTGGGTCCAGCGGGTGTCGTTGTTGCAGGGTGCCCCGGGGTCCGGCGCTGACGGGCAGAGATGACAAGAGAGGAAAACATCAAGAACAATCATCGCTGAAAAAGCCCAGGAGTGAAAAACAAACATTCAGTCATACATTGTTAGTGTGTGTACAATATTGAGAGAAATCGACAGCTCCCCAATGTGATATGAAATATCTCTTTATTCTGTGTACAGTGAAGTAATCTCTTTTGTTCTCATTTCAAATCAAGAAGCAACAGAATACCACAAATGCTGCTTTCTGACTTCATCTGGATGTTAACTAGCTACTGAATGTAGTTCATCATGCAGAATACATGAGCTCGTTGAACTTGATTGGGTTCCAAATGAAACAGCACCACTACAATAATCAGCGACAATATATAGGAGATGGTGGTGGGCGGTTAACAAGCACCACTGATCTAATCATGTGAAATGGCCCTATTGCAGTAACAGTTAGTCTTCAGCGACACTGACAGAGCTGCTGATGTCTCCACTATGAAGTGTAATTATATTACAATAATTCATAATTATTACCACCTCTAAATGGATCCAGGAGGTCAATCGGTGGAGATAATTCTAGCCTTATTAATGTCAATGGAATAAAACATCCTTGGAAACTATGAAATGGTTCATCAACTCGGAGGAGAGCGCTGTGATTTTGAATGCACTCCCCTTCCATCAAGTTCATTTTCAATGTCCCCTTTCAATTAAATAATGTTTAAAGTGGTACTGGTGTTGGTTTGCAGTGCAGCACGGTCATTGTAGTGGTGAGTGATTCCTGCAATACAGATGCAGACTAGGTGGTGGGAGGAGGACGACTATTTAGGGCGCAGTGGTCCTGAGTGGTGCAGTGGTCTAAGGCACTGCATCGCAGTGCTAACTGTGCCACTAGAGATCCTGGTTCGAATCCAGGCTCTGTCGCAGCCGGCCGCGACCGGGAGACTCATGGGCGGCGCACAATTGGCCCAGCGTCGTCCAGGGTAGGGGAGGGAATGGCCGGCAGGGATGTAGCTCAGTTGATAGAGCATGGCGTTTGCAACGCCAGGGTTGTGGGTTCGATTCCCACGGGGGGCCAGTATAAAAATAATATGTATTCACTAACTGTAAGTCGCTCTGGATAAGAGCGTCTGCTAAATGACTAAAATGTAAATGTAAAATGGCTCTGGGCTGGAGGGGGCTCCAATGTGCCCAGACACAGCACTCATTCATACTGACCCAGGTCCTGAGAGGAGTTTCTACCAACCCCCAGGCACAAACAGTGCTCTCCTGGAGCTGCCCCACTGCTGGTTAGGATGTAGGTGCTGCATGATATATGATCCCTGCTAAACGTCGATCAAACACAGAAAAACATGACCGGAGGGCAGCTATATGACTTGACACACACACACACACGTATAGCGCCTTGCAAAAGTATTCATCCCCATTGGCATTTTTCCTATTTTGCTGCATTACAACCTGTAATTTAAATGGATTTTTATTTGGATTTCATGAAATGGACATACACAAAATAGTCCAAATTGGTGAAGTGAAATGAAAAAAATAACTTGTTTCAAAAAATTTGATCTGGTACAACCAATTACCTTCAGAAGTCACATGATTAGTTAGAATTAAAATGAATGCACTCACTAACTGTAAGTCGCTCTGGATAAGAGCGTCTGCTAAAATGACTAAAATGTAAAATGTAAAAAATAAAGTCCACCTGTGTGCAATCTAAGTGTCACATGATCTGTCATATGATCTCAGTATATATACACCTGTTATGAAAGGCCCCAGAGTCTGCAACACCACTAAGCAAGCGGCACCATGAAGACCAAGGAGCTCTCCAAACAGGTCAGGGACAAAGTTGTGGAGAAGTACAGATCAGGGTTGGGTTATAAAAAAATATCCGACACGTTGAACATCCCACGGAGCACCATTTAAATCCATTATTAAAAAATGGAAATAATATGGCATCACAACAAACCTACCAAGAGAGGGCCACCCACCAAAACTCACAGACCAGGCAAGGAGGGCATTAATCAGAGAGGCAACAAAGAGACCAAAGATAACCCTGAAGGAGCTGCAAAGCTCCACAGCGGAGATTGGAGTATCTGTCCATTGGACCACTTTAAGCCGTACACTCCACAGAGCTGGGCTTTACGGAAGAGTGACCAGAAAAAAGCCAGTGCTTAAAGACAAAAATAAGCAAACACATTTGGTGTTCGCCAAAAGGCATGTGGGAGACTCCCCAAATGTATGGAAGAAGGTACTCTGGTCAGATGAGACTAAAATTTGGCCATCAAGGAAAACGCTATGTCTGGCGCAAACCCAACCCCTCTCATCACCCCGAGAACACCATTCCCACAGTGAAGCATGGTGGTGGCAGCATCATGCTGTGGGGATGTTTTTCATCAGCAAGGACTGGGAAACTGGTCAGAATTTATGATAGATGGCGCTAAATACAGGGAAATTCTTGAGGGAAACCTGTTTCAGTCTTCCAGAGATTTGAGACTGGGACGGAGGTTCACCTTCCAGCAGGAGAATGACCCTAAGCATACTGCTTAGGCAACACTTGAGTGGTTTAAGGGGAAACATTTAAATGTCTTGGAATGGCCTAGTCAAAGCCCAGACCTCAATTCAATTGAGAATCTGTGGTATGACTTAAAGATTGCTGTACACCAGCAGACCCCATCCAACTTGAAGGAGCTGGAGCAGTTTTGCCTTGAAGAATGGGGAAAAATCCCAGTGGCTGGATGTGCCAAGCTTATAGAGATACCCCAAGAGACTTGCAGCTGTAATTGCTTTAAAAGGTGGCTCTACAAAGTATTGACTTTGGGGGGGTGAATAGTTATGCACGCTCAAGTTTTCTGTTTTTTAGTCTTATTTCTTGTTTGTTTCACAATAAAAAATATTTTGCATCTTCAAAGTGGTAGGCATGTTGTGTAAATCAAATGATACAACCCCCCCAAAATCCATTTTAATTCCAGGTTGTAAGGCAACAAAATAGGAAAAATGCCAAGGGGGGTGAATACTTTCGCAAGCCACTGTATGTGGGATATGGGGACTGTCTATATGACAAAGCATAAAGTATGTGGATCAGTTAAAACAAGAAAAGCAGGGCTGAGCGGAGATGGAGACTCACAGTCAGGTGTATACTTGAGTGTGCGGAACACCTTGCGCTGGGGAGTGACCCTCTTGATGTAGGGGTGGTCCTCCAGGGTGAGCAGGCTGCTGCGAGAGGCCTGGCGGATCAGCACCACTTCAAAGTCACTGGGGAAGTCACTGGCTGGGTTCTCCCGGAGCACGATGTGCCAGTCCAGGGCCTCGGCGGTCCGCAGAGTACTGCTGATGAAGAGACTGCGTGCCTTGGCTGTAAAGTAGCCATTAAACACCACTATGTACTCTGGAGAAAGAGAGAACAGGGTAATCATTAAACATCTCCAAGGCAGTTGTGCTTCAGCTGTGGGACATTCCAATGTCAACGGATTTATAGGTGGCATTGCCATTTGGGGAGAGCGATATAGGTAAAACTCATTACTCCATTGGTTTTAGATGTCCTTAAAGCTCAAGGTTTGCCATTACAGTCACTGTAATATTCTCTTGTTTCTAGAAGAAAAACTGGTACAGTGATACCCTTCAAGTCTGCACTGATACCCTGCAAGTCTGCATTGTACTAGCAGTTCCTCTGCTGTCACAACAGTGAAATAAAAGCCCATAAAAACAGCAATGAATGACAAAAGGAGGCCTAGAATCAAATCATACTGAATAACTTTCAGTTAGCTACATTGTGCCATCGTCGGTGTACAATTGCACAGACCCCTGGCGCGTGGCACCAATGTAGCTTAACTTTCATGAATTTAGTATGAATGTGTTGGCAGAGACATAAAACTACAAGCCAATTCTTTATTGACTCTGCACAAGGCCCTTCACATGATCTTGACCGCTTAGCCCGACCACTCTATCATGATGATCCCTCGCCCTGCTTCACAATGCACTGCTCTCACTGAGTCAGTAGGAATTCATTGAAAAATAAGGCTGTGGAATAAAGGTCAATAATAAGGGGACTATAAATACCATGTTATATTCTGCCATGGTGCTCTGCCAGCAAGGCTGCACAGACACGCATCCCAGACAGACTACTCTGACTCGAGTCCTGGACCTTTAAGAGGAAGGAGGGGGTATGTACGCTCTGGGACAACAGCCAATGAATACTCCATCCAACAATGAAGGATCCAACACAGTTTGGCTAAAGCCCTAAAACTCAACTCTGGCCGTGTCTAGACTTGACCCGTTCATGCAGCTTTAGTATTCTGATCATAGAGTTCTGATCATGGAATTCCAAACGTCTCATGCGTCTACACCTATATATAAATGTGTCTACCGTGTCCAGATTCCCTTTTCCGGCGCTATATTCAAAGGCCAGCATGCATTCTACAAACGGTGGAAAAGGCAAAATATGATAATGCCACAACAACTGATGACAGTAGCTAACTACTGTAGCTAACTAGCCAGCTAACCTCTGTAGCTAGCCAGCAAGCAAGCAACGCTAAAGGGATTGCAAACAGGTTAGCATAACTCTAGCCAAACAAATGTTTTTTCTAAATATTAGCTAGAATGCTAGCATTTATGAGGCCAGCAAACAAGTTTCTCACATGCTGTGGGAGGAGTAATAATAATAATAATAATAATAATAATATGCCATTTAGCAGACGCTTTTATCCAAAGCGAATTACAGTCATGCGTGCATACATTTTTGTGTATGGGTGGTCCCGGGGATCGAACCCACTACCTTGGCGTTACAAGCGCCGTGCTCTACCAGTTGAGCTACAGAGGACCACTGTGGACCACAGTGGAGTGCTGATGATGTCACCCACTGTATGAGCTTTCGGTAGCCTGATTGCGTCAGACTGAGGAGAAATCCGCACACAATGCATCCCTGACCACCTTCTGAAGTGGTCAGCCAGACCACCTTCTGAAGTGTCAGCCAGATCTGTACACAATCAGACCACCCGTCTTTTCAATGCGATCTTCGTATTCTGATAGCAGAAGTTGCATGTAAGTGTCAAGTTTAGACACGACCTCCGGACCTCGAAGCCAGTTCCACTGCTTTTTATCATTGTTCCCCTCTAAATCAGGGATTGATTTAGTGGATGCAATTAATTATCAGGTAGAACAGAAAACCAGCAGGCTCCGGACCTCGTATGTTAATAGTTGAATACCCCTTGGCTGAAGCCTGCTAAGCCATGTGGGAACCTCCAGCCAGGTAGAGTAGAGTAGAGCAGCTTGACAGTGATCGTCCTGCCACGCTCAGGTTGTGTTATCGGTATGTGGTCAATGAGTGACAATTCATTGAAAAAACACCATAAAACAAAGATAAACTTGACTTACATGTCATAAATGGCAATCACCATAAAGAGAATGTGGCCTGAATATCTCCCAAACATCCTTTGGCTTTGACCCAAATAATGAAATGTTAGGAAATGGTGAGTATGGACCTTGTATGTCAGTCATGATTTTACAGCAGAAGTTCCATAGGAGTAGCCAAGAGGCAGCCCTTCCTGCCATTGGTGTTCTAGTCTGTAAACTACAGTAACATAGCTTACCATGTTCGACTACTTTGGTCGAAAACTCCAGTTTCACAGTGAGACTTGAGCAGTTGGAACTGTGGGTCTCATCAGGGTTGGGAGAGTAGGTGGAGGAGGACACAGCCCCATCCCCTCCCTCTGTCCCCACTAGAAAGAACCTGCCACATAGCAGGACCACTACTATGGAGAGCCATATAGGCACCAGGGTCATAGTCCAAGCTGTCCTTTTCTGTTCACTACCCATCAGAAATAGTCTTTATCCCTCCAAGCCCAGAGCAGGCGTTTTAGCAGCCAGGGGGAATTGTTTAACATATGACAAGACAAAAATATGGCTGATATGGCAATCATCAACAGAGCAGTTCATGTCCAGCGCTCACAGATGCCCTCATTGCACATGGCCTGAGCTTCTTTCATTTCTTTCTGCGTTTCCTCTCCATCTTTAAAGTCCAGTGTGTTGATCTGTCCTTCAGCCAGGCAACTATCGGGGATCCATTTTCACACACAGAGGAGATCCACAGAGGCAGATGAGGATGGTGGTTGTGTAGCCTAGAGAGTTCCACTGCAGATCTTTTCCTCAAATACCTGGAACGAAATGGAAGACACATTGTCATATTAATGGGACATAATAAAATATAATGCACACATATGCTTCAGCAACTTCATGCTTTCTGTTCTCCAATCAAATCAATCTATACTGAACAAAAATATAAACGCAACATGTAAAGTGTTGGTCCCATGTTTCATGAGCTGAAATAAAACATCCCAGAAATTGTCCATACTCACAAAAAGCTTATTTCTCTCAAATTTGGTGCACAAATGTGTTTACATCCCTGTTAGTGAGCATTTCTCCTTTCTGTCTGTAATAAAGCCCTTTTGTAGGGAAAAACTCATTCTGATTGGCTGGGTCTGGCTCCCCAGTGGGTGGGCCTGGCTTCCAAGTGTGTGGGCCTATGCCCTCCAAGGCCCACCCATGGCTGCACCCCTGCCCAGTCATGTGAAATCCATAGATTAGGGCTTAATTTATTTATTTCAATTGACTGATTTCCTTATATGAACTGTAACTCAGTTAAATCTTTGAAAGTGTTGCATGTTGGATTTTAATTTTTGTTCTGTATACTTAGATCCTATGTAGCCTAGTTTTTGAGGGGTAAACTAGTGTACAATGTAATTTCAGTAGTTACAAGGCAACATAAAATCGTAATGGGGTGGTCAAAGGGACCTCTAACCATTGGTACTGCTGGTTTGACGTAGAGGACTTCCACTCTTGCAAGGAAACTACCTGAAATCTGGGGGAATGCCAAAACTCAGCCACAAAGGCTTGGCCCCAAGGTAAAAATCCCTTATCATTGGGATAAGTCAGTAGTCTTAAAATCCCACCCTCTAAATCACTTACCCTGGACAGGTGGGGTTTCATTTCCCTTCAGCGTCCTGAGGTATGGACCCTGCAGTCACAACCCCTCCAAAGTTAGCAAGAACCAGTTACATTATACCACTAAGGCAGCCTTTTCCTGGAATATATGGACAGCTCTCTCCCTCCCTTTGTGCACACCAGATGGGCCTTTCTGAGACCCAAACCAAACAACTAGTTCAGGCTCCGGCTGGGAACACTGTCTGCTGGGTTAAAATAGGGTGTAAATGCTTGGACACACTGGTGGCGTTAGCCGGCCAAGAATACTTAGCACATCTGAACAGAGTGCCGAACGTAATTAGTCAGACGTCCACCAGCGAGTGGTCCCTAAAACACACATGAGAAAACAACATCAAACCTCTGGGCACCTCATCCCCCTCTTAGAACAATTGTCCGAAAAAATAAAAATGAAGCAGAACCATGTCGGTCAAAACTATATTTTGCAAATGAACTGGGACAAGAGTCGTGTTTTCCAGTTGTTAGAAGTTACATCCCCAAAACATATACAACACAAATGTCTCCTAGCCTCCCACGCATAGGCTACTTTCTGTCCCGAACACTAAAACTGAAACGAAATAATATAAAAACTAAATAGAAATGTTTTCTAAAACTGAAACTAAATAAAAACGAGTAAAGTGGACCTGAAAACTAAACTGAAACTAATAGGAATAAAAACTAATAGTGGCTTGCGAAAGTATTCTCCCCCCTTGGCATTTTTCCTATTTTGTTGCCTTACAACCTGGAATTAAAATAGATTTTTGAGGGGGTTTGTATCATTTGATTTACACAACATGCCTACCACTTTGAAGATGAAAAATATGTTTTATTGTGAAACAAACAAGAAATAAGACAAAAGAATGGAAAACGGCTGGGTTACTGGCTACAGTCATGCTAGCTGGTAGTGAAGCTGCCTGGCCAGAGCTACCTGCTGCAGAAAGGTCAGATTTCTCCATTACTTTCTGTAGCTAATTTACAGTAGCTAGATCTTCTGCCGGCTGATGGTGTTTATTGACGGAGTAATAATGAACAGCAGTTACTGTAAATGGTTACCTATCTGGCACTTTGCATAGCTACAGTGAGGGAAAAAAGTATTTGATCCCCTGCTGATTTTGTACGTTTGCCCACTGACAAAGAAATGATCAGTCTATCATTTTAATGGTAGGTTTATTTGAACAGTGAGAGACAGAATAACAACAAAAAATCCAGAAAAACGCATGTCAGAAATGTTATAAATTGATTTGCATTTTAATGAGGGAAATAAGTCTTAGACCCCTCTGCAAAACATGACTTAAAACCCTTGTTGGCAAATCACAGAGGTCAGAAGTTTATTGTAGTTGGCCACCAGGTTTGCACACATCTCAGGAGGGTTTTGTCCCACTCCTCTTTGCAGATCTTCACCAAGTCATTAAGGTTTCAAGGCTGACGTTTGGCAACTCGAACCTTCAGCTCCCTCCACAGATTTTCTATGGGATTAAGGTCTGGAGACTGGCTAGGCCACTCCAGGACCTTAATGTGCTTCTTCTTGAGCCACTCCTTTGTTGCCTTGGCCGTGTGTTTTGGGTCATTGTCATGCTGGAATACCCATCCACGACCCATTTCAATGCCCTGGCTGAGGGAAGGAGGTTCTCATTCAAGATTTGACGGTACATGGCCCCGTCCATCGTACCCTTTGATGCTGTGAAGTTGTCCTGTCCCCTTAGCAGAAAAACACCCCCAAAGCATAATGTTTCCACCTCCATGTTTGACGGTGGGGATGGTGTTCTTGGGGTCATAGGCAGCATTCCTCCTCCTCCAAACACGGCGAGTTGAGTTGATGCCAAAGAGCTCGATTTTGGTCTCATCTGACCACAACACTTTCACCCAGTTCTCCTCTGAATCATTCAGATGTTCATTGGCAAACTTCAGACGGGCCTGTATATGTGCTTTCTTGAGCAGGGGGACCTTGCGGGCGCTGCAGGATTTCAGTCCTTCACGGCATAGTGTGTTACCAATTGTTTTCTTGGTGACTATGGTCCCAGCTGCCTTGAGATCATTGACAAGATCCTCCCGTGTAGTTCTGGGCTGATTCCTCACCGTTCTCATGATCATTGCAACTCCACAAGGTGAGATCTTGCATGGAGCCCCAGGCTGAGGGAGATTGACAGTTATTTTGTGTTTCTTCCATTTGCGAATAATCGCACCAACTGTTGTCACCTTCTCACCAAGCTGCTTGGCGATGGTCTTGTAGCCCATTCCAGCCTTGTGTAGATCTACAATCTTGTCCCTGACATCCTTGGAGAGCTCTTTGGTCTTGGCCATGGTGGAGAGTTTGGAATCTGAACACTTGCAATTTTTTGAAACAAGTTATTTATTTCATTTCATTTCACCAATTTGGACTATTTTGTGTATGTCCATTACATGAAATCAAAATCAAAATCCATTTAAATTACAGGTTGTAATGCAACAAAATAGGAAAGACGCCAAGGGGGAAGAATACTATTGCAAGGTACTGTATATAAACACAAAACTATAAATGGAGTGACTGCGGTTCCAGATTTTCGGGAAACTCGATTTGCCTGGCTAATGATAGAAATATTTATGCGCATGTGCAGGATATTTCTTTCCGTAGCTGCTGCCCACTCCGCTGCTGCTGCTCTGCTCTACTTAGTTTGGTAGAGTTTGTGCATATATTATGACAACATTTTGTGGTGTTTTTGTTCATTTTGGACTTCGTGATGGTTTTTCTGGTTGTTCGGGGACACAAAATTTCTACTGCACCAAACATCTTTGTTAGATGTAAAATTGCATGATTAAGATCTATTCGGCAAAAACGTCAAAATTAATGACAGATTTCTTGAGTTATCTTAGATTCATTCTGACTATTTTGAGGAAGTGTATACCTGCTACGGCGTCACTAAATGGACAAACAGTACTACTGCCGCTTTTTTCTCGTTTTTCAAGTGAATGTATTTTAAGGGAGTACGCGAGCACACTCGTTCGGTTCGGCTAGCTGAGTTCGGAAGCATGCTGATGCCTTTAGGCTACATGCAGCTATTTACATGTTGTACACAAAAGACATGATTAACATGTTTGTAAAAACTATCTAGACAGCTTATTAAACACAAGTAAGACAAAGACGCGCAGTCTAATTAATAATAAGGCCCAATGCTGTCAAAAAAGTGATTTTCCTGTGTATATATTTTCACACTATGAGGTTGGAATAATAATGTGAAATTGTTAAAATTATGATAATGCCCTTTTAGTGTAAGAGCTGTTTGAAAAGGCTGCCTGAAATTGTAACCTGTTGTGGTGGGATGGACTTTAGGCCTGCCTAGTAACATTACCAGGCGGTAAATGAGTTAATAGACCAATAAGAAAGAGAGTTTCAAACCTCTCTGCCAATAAGAGCTAGTTTTCAGTTTTCCCCTCAGACCACTCCCAGACAGAATTCTTGCTTGAGAAATTGCTCTTTGCTAAGAAGCTAGTCGTTTCTTTTTGACCATTTTAATTGAAAAACAAATCACAGTAAGGTACTTAATTGTTACCCAGAAATGATATTGAGATAAAAATGGCTGCATTGGACCTCTAATCATTGCAAACATTTGTTACCCACATGAAAAAGAATACTACAGAACACTACAGTACTTACTATAGAATTCTGTAGTAAATTGTGGTATACTATACTACACACTGTAGTATACCTCGATCACGTGTAGTACGTACTATAGAATGTTGTAGTATACTGTAGAACACTACACTACATGACCAAAAATATGTGGACACCCCTTCAAATTAGTGGATTCGACTATTTCAGCCACACCCGTCGCTGACAGGTGTATAAAATAGAGCACACAGCC